CCTGAGTAGCTGGGATTATAGGCACATACCACCACCCCCGGCTAATTTTTGTATTTTTAGTAGAGGTGGGGTTTTGCCATGTTGGCCAGGCTGGTCTCCAACTCCTGACCTCAGGTGATCCTCCCACTTCGGCCTCCCAAAGTGCTGGGATCACAGCTGTGAACCACCGTGCCTGGCTTCATTTTCTAATAAGTTTAAGACTATGACTTTTTTTTATAGTATGAATCTGGTTACATCACAAATATTTTGGTAGGTACTGTTTTCATTGTGATCAATTTCTAAATAGTCTATTGTAATAATAGCAAGTTTTTATATAGCAGTTACTGTGTGGTGGTGGTGTTTTGAGTGCTTTATTACATATCAACTCCACACAGTTAGCAAGGATTGGAGCTGGGATTTGAACCCTAGGCAGTTTGGCTGCAGAATTCGTGCCATTAAGCACAGTACTGTGCTGCCTCTCAGTTTGGTTTCTTTTTCCTCCAAATTGAGGTGTAATGGAAGTACAGTAAACTGCCCACATTAAAAGTGTGCAATTTGATAAGTTTTGACATATGAATACACCTGTGAAGCCATCACCACAATCAACATAAACATTTCCGTCCTTGCTGGGCGTGGTAGCTCATGCCTGTAATCCCAGCACTTTGGGAGGCCGAATTGGGTGGATCACCTGAGGTCAGGAGTTCGAGGCCAGCCTGGCCAACATGGTGAAACCCCATCTCTAATAAAAATACAAAAAATTAGCTGGCCATGGTGGCACATGCCTGTAATCTCAGCCACTTGGGAGACTGAGGCAGGAGATTGCTTGAACCTGGGAGGCAGAGGTTGCAGTGAGCCGAGATCATGCCATTGCACTCCCATCTGGATGACAGAGCGAGACTCTGTCTCAAGAAAAAAAAAAAACTAACAAAAAACATTTCCATCCTTACAGCTTTCCTCATGTCTCCTTGCAATTCTTCCCTTTTGCCATCCACTTCTGCAGCTAAGTGTTGATCTGCTTTCGGTTATTATAGATTAGTTTGCAGTTTCTAGGCTTTTATAGAAATGGAATCATAGAGCTTAGAGTCCCTTTTGTCTGACTTCTTTCACTTCTTTTAGCATATAGATTTTGAGATTCACCCCACGCCTTAGTATGTTGCTTTGTGTTTTAATTATTCATTCCTTGTTATTGTTGAATAGTGTTCCATTGTATGAAAATACCACACTTTTTTTTTTTTTCTTTTTCATTTACCTGTTGATGGACATTTGTGTTCTTTCTGGGTTTTATTAGAAAGAAAATTACCTGTGTTCAGCCAGGCGCAGTGGCTCACGCCTGTAATCCCAGCATTTTGGGAGGCTGAGGCGGGCGGATCACGAGGTCAGGCGATCGAGACCATCCTGGCTAACAAGGTGAAACCCTGTCTCTACTAAAAAATACAAAAAATTAGCCGGGTGTAGTGGCGGGTGCCTGTAGTCCCAGCTACTTGGGAGGCTGAGGCAGGAGAATGGTGTGAACCGAGATCGCACCACTGCACTCCAGCCTGGGCGACAGAGTGAGACTCCGTCTCAAAAAAAAAAAAAAGAAAAAATTACCTGTGTTCAGTTGTGTAAGGCTTTTCTGTAGACATGTTTTTATATCTCTTGAGTAAATATCTAGGAGGGACTATTTAATGTTAAGAAACTACCAAACCGTTTTCCACAATGGATGTACCATTTGACATTCCCGTCAGCCGTGGACATGAGCGCTCCGGGTGCTTCCCATCCTGACTAATGCTTGATGTGGGCAGGTTGTTTTGGGTTTTGTTTACAGTTTTAGCCATTCTAATGGATACAGAGTGCATGGCGGTTTTATTTTGCATTCCCCTGATAACGGATAATGCTGAGCCTTGTTTGCGTGTTATTGACAATTTGTATATTTTCTTATAAAGTATTCACATCTTTGGCCTTTTCAAAATGTGGCATTGTACTGAGTTTTAAGTATTGAGTATTAACAAACAGTTCTGTATATAATTTAGATACAAGTCATTTGTCTGAAAGCAAGCATCCTTAACTTTGTTCTTGATCTCAGGGAGATACAATGAGACCTTCTATCATTTTGTATAGATTAGTTGTAGGTTTTTCTTGGATACGCTTTATCAATTTGAGTATTCCTGGTTTTCTAGATAAGTTACCTGAATTGGTTTTTGAGTTTTGCCACTTTCTTTGACATCTGTAGAAATGATTATATAATTTTTGATGAATTACAAATGTTAAACTAAGATTGCATTCCTGGGGTAAAGCCTATGTGGTCATTATATGTTACCCTTTTTTATGTATGTTGTTGAATCCTATTTGCCAATAGTTTGTTTAAAAATTCGTAACAGTAATCATGAGGGATATTGGTATGTAATTTTTTTTTAATGTCTATCAGATTTTACTATTAGGGTTATATAGGCCTTATATGATCCTTCATTGTTTTCTGAAAATGTTTTCTAAGATTGATGTTATTGTTTATTTCTTGAATATTTGATAGAATTCACCATTGAAGTAATCTAAGTCCAGAATTTGCTTTCTGGGAAGCTTTTTGAACACAAATTTTTAAAATATATAATCTATATAGATATAGGACTATTCAGATTTGTTTCTTCTGAGTCAGGTTTGGGAAGTTTTGTTTTTCAAAAATATGTCTATTGCATTTAAGTTGTTGAATTTGTTAGTATGAATTTGCAGTTTTCTCCTTTTAATGTCTGTAGCAGTAACTCCTTTTTCATTCGTGGGTATTGGTGATTTATGTTCTCACTCTTTTTTTCATGATCAGTCTAATTAGAAGTTTGGCATTTTTATTATCTTCTCAAAGAATGAGCTTTTGGCTTTGTTAATTTTCTCTATTGGTTGTTTTCTATTTTATTGATTTCTTTTTTTTTTGAGACGGAGTCTCGCTGTGTCGCCCAAGCTGGAGTGCAGTGGCGCGATATCAGCTCACTGCAACCTCTGCCTTCTGGGTTCAAGCAACTCTCTAGCCTCAGCCTCCTGAGTAGCTGGGATTGCAGGCATGCACCACCGCGCCCAGCTATATTTTATTGATTTCTATCCTTTTTTTCTTTCTTTGGATTACTTTACTCTCCCATTCTTTTTTCTCCCTAGTTTCTCAAAGTTGTGGAACCTGAGATAATTTATTTTAGATCTTCTTTTCTAATACAAGTACTTAAAGCTTTGAATTTCCTTCTAAGCACTTCTCTAGCTGCGTCCTATGAATTTTATAGTAGCTGGGACTATAAGTGCATGCCACCACACTCGGCTAACGTAAAAAAAATTTTTTTTGTAGAGACAGGGTCTCACTGTGTTGCCCTGGCTGGTCTCGAACTCTTAGCCTCAAATCATCTTCCCACCTCGGCCTCCCAAAGCTCTGGATTCACAGGCAGTATCCACTATGCATAGCCTAGTTCTATCAGTTCCTTAAAGGAGAGCGTTAACATCTGCTATAATTTTAGAATTGTCTAGTTCTCCTTTTAATTTGTGTCCGTTTTTCTGCATGTATTTTTTAGCCTCTATTATGTTTATATTTAAGTATATTAAGTATATTAATATAAGTCACATTTATATTTATAATTATGACTTCCTAATGAATTATTGCTTTTATCATTTTAAAATAATTTTTGCCAAGTGCAGTGGCTCACGGCTGTAATCCCACACTTTGGGAGGCTGAGGCAAGCGGATCCCTTGAGCCTAGGAGTTTGAGACCAGCCTGGGCAACATGGCAAAACCCCATCTCTTCCAAAAACGCAAAAAAATTAGCCAGGTGTGGTGGCACGCACCCGTGGTTCCAGTTACTTAGAAGGCTGAGGCGGAGGATCACTTGAGCCTGCAAGGCAGAGGCTGCAGTGAACTGAGATCATGCCACCGCACTCCAGCTTGGGTGACAGGACAGAGTGAGACCCTGGCTCAAAATATATATAGATACACACACACACCCCCCGACGCACACACCCCAAAGCCGTAGGAGAGGAACAAAACAGGGAAACTCATCCAGTGCAGTTGCTGCTTCAAGTTTCGCCTCCTTCTCAGTTCACCTGCTTTTGTTGACTTTTCCAAATCTTTAGGTCGTCGTCGTACTCTGTCCAGAGTTTTTAGCTATAATCAGTTAAAATGGGATGGGTTGTTCCACTGCCATAACAGAACTAGAACCTCTGTCCTTTTATTTCATTTTGACCCAGAGATTATTTAGAAATATGGTTTGAGGTTTAATTTTATTTCCAGGAGGTTATATTTAAGGATACATCCTTAAACTGACTAAAGATGCTATTGATTGATACAAATGATACAGTCTACCAAGATTTTTTAATTTTCTGAAGCAAAACCTTTTTTAAAAATATAAAACAAATCCTTTAATTTTTCAAGTGTTTTAAAAAACAATTTTATACTTAAGCCAGCCTTGAAGATAAGTACAAAATTTACCAGTTTACTTTAAAAAAAAAAAAAAAAATGACAACTCCAGCACCCACTCTGTGCATAGCACTGTTATAGGTGCAATAAAAGGGAATCTTAACCTTAGAAATACGAGTCCACTTTCTGGAATTGTATTATCTCCTTTTCCAGACAGTAAAAATAAATAAAATCACCTTCGTTTACTACAGATCCACCCCGTACCACTTCTGGTTCACAGAAAAGCTAGTTTCTGCCAAATTAAAGATGCAATGAACTCAGTTCCTGCTTTCCCAAAAATACAAAAGCAGAATTCCTTTTCACTAAAAAAGTAAACAGTTTTCCATGCATGGGCAGTTTGTTTCTAGTAAGTATTTAAAAAATTTTTTTTTCCTCTAGCTTTTCTTTAAGTTTTCTTCCTCTCATATTGCCTTTTCTTGTATAAGGCAAACCAGGTATCTTTTTTATGCTGTTTTTCCTTTCCTAAGAAAAGTATTGCATCTTGAAGACAAGCCATTTCAAGAGTAGTGATAAAAAATAACTTTAAAAAAACTTTAAAGGTGAGTCACTTACATCACCTTGATAAAGTAAAAAAAAAAAAAAATAAGCAGTTGGCACTAAGATAGCTAATTCCAAATATCTGTGTCTGAACAATTTTAAAAACTGTTTATTTTGTAACAGTGTACCCCTAGTCCAAGGTAACTATGTTTTAAAAAATTTTGGCCAAAAAATTCACAAAAACCCTTTCACTTCAACCTAATAAAAGTGATATCTAGAAAATATGCCACATTATTAAGTCTGTTTTAAAAAGTTCAGATTCTACAGCATTCCTAAGGCACAGTGTTCTGGAAGACAAATGTACTTCTGTTGTCATTGTGTTAGACACGAAGCAGCCATGACAGGCCTCAAGTGAGCTCCGACAGGCAGCTTCCTCCTGATGCTGTGGGTGCGAGAGAGGAGTTAGACGTAGGCCCCCCGGGCTGCATGAAACTCTCTGAGACACTGTACCAGCTGCTGAAACTTGGGCCTCTCCCCCGGATCTAAGGCCCAGCAACAGGCCATCACAGCAAATGGTTCATCAGGACAGTTGATTGGCTGGGTTATTCGGTAACCATCTTTCAGGTATGCGGCCATCTCGAAGGGGTCAGTGTCCACGTAGGCCATCTGGCCCAGAGTCGTGAGTTCCCACAGCATCACTCCAAAGGCCCACACATCACTAGTGCTAGACAACTCATTATTAACCAGACTTTCAAGAGCCATCCAACGAACTGGCCTGTTTTCATTGTCCCCCAAACAGTGATAGTCCATGGAGAACCAGTCTCTGGAGAGGGCATTGTCTGTGATCTTAACTTGAAGTGTGTCATCAGTGACACAGTTCCTAGCAGCCCGGTCTTTGTGGATGACTTCCCTTCTGGCCAGGTAGCTCATTCCACAGGCAGTCTGAATAGCCATGGGTACCAGATCTTGTTGAGAAATTGCCTGTGGCTTATTGGCCTCTACTAACTTGCACTGCTGTAAAAACAAGTTAAGATTCCCCCAATTCATGTAAGGCAATATCACCATGGGCTTTTCTCCTTCTCCTATATACACATGAGTAATAGGAAGAAGATTCCTGTGTTGAAGACCTCGCAGCTTATCACTTTCAGTGAGCATGATTGTTACCTGAATTTCAGAAGCTTGATCTTTAACTGTTGTGAGAAATGCTTGTTTTTCTTTATTTGGATCTTTTCCATCTATTAAAATCTCATGGAAAATATGCCCAAAAGTACCTTCTTGGAGTACATCTTTTAGAGCTATCCTCTCCCTGGATATTGCTGTATCCTTCACCTTGGCTTTGGCCTCCAAAAGAGTGACACTTCTCAAGTCGTTCTTCTCTGTCCGCAAGGTAGGATAACCTGAGGAGCTGGTGATAGGAGTCGCACTGTTGGGTGTGTCAGCCCTCAGATACTGGGTCGTCTGGGTGGATGGCTGAGACAGCCCTTGGGAACTACTGCTGGCATTAATGCTGTCATCCAGTTCAACCCTTTTCATACTATGAAGGTGCAAAACAGCTAATATTATTGCTACGAGAAATATTACTGCACAACAAACCCGTACTGTAATATAAAACACACGTGTAGAAGTGGTTGTAATTGCATGTACAGGACCATTTTTAGTGCACATTTTCCTTGGTTTAAAATTTAAGATGGTAAAATTCTTTGAAGAATTTAGTCAAGTTGAGTTGCATTAGTATCATAACTTCAGAATCTACTTCGCCAGTATACAGGAAAGCCCTACCCAAAACACTGATAAAATGCGTGGAACTTCCCCGGGAACGGAAATATTGACCTGGGGCATGTCCATTGCCAACACATTGTCCGCTTGGAATCCCAGCTTGTATTAAGCCTTGGACTTCGCATGCCAGGTGAAGTGCAGGACGTTTGTCTCACTGGGTACTAACAGATTAAAAGATAGAGCGTAGTGACTAACAAGGTCATTTCTCACATAAGAAAGTTCTGCATCAAGACCGATCAGCCGGCACACCTCGTCCTCACTCAGGTCGAGGCTCACGCTGGGCCCCGCGGCCGTCAACTGCAGCTCCAGGGACGGTGGGGCCTCCGGGAGGGAGGCGGCCCCAGCCCGCCCAGGCGGCCGTGCCGCCCCGCCGCCCACCCCTGGCCCCGAGCCGCTCACAGCCCCGAGCCGGGGGCGGCTGCCCAACTCATCAAGCCACTGGCCCGTGGCAGCCAGTAGCGGCTTCAGACCTCCAGAGTGCGCCGCCGCCTCGGTGGCATCGTCCGGAGTAGGGGAAGCAAAAACTTTTATGTGAAGTAGATTAAGAAAAAAAATAGGGCTGGGCATGGTGGCTCACACCTGTAATCCCAGCACTTTGGGAGGCCACAGTGGGCCGATCACCTAAGGTGAGGAGTTTGAGACCAGCCTGGCTAACATGGCAAAACCTCATCTCTACAAACATACAAAAATTAGCTGGGTGTGGTGACACACTCCTGTAGTCTCAGCTACTTGGGAGTCTGAGGGAGGAGAATCGCTTGAATTGGGACGTAGAGGTTGCAGTGAGCGGAGAATGCGCCACTGCACTCCAGCCTGGGTAACAGAGTGAGACTCTGACCCAAATAAAAAGAAAAGAAAAAAACAGTTGGAAACTCAGAGAATTTAATTAAACCAGAGTCGTAATAGGAGATTCAAAACACCTTTCTCAGCTTTTCACAGATTAAAAATAGAGGATTGAAAAAACAAAGTCAGCCAGGTGCCGTGGCTTATGCCTGTAATCCCAGCACTTTGGGAGGCCAAGGAAGGAGGATTGCTTAAGGCCAAGAGTTCAAGACCAGCCTGGGCAACATGACGAAACTCTGTCTCTACTAAAAATCAAAAATTTGCCAGGCACAGTGGTATGTGTCTATAGTCCCATTTACTCGGCAGGCTCAGGTGGGAGAATCGATTGAGCCTGGGAGATCGAGGCTGTAGTGAGCTATGGTTGCACCATTGTACTCCAGCCTGGGCAACAGTGGCTCTGTCCCTAAACAAATAAAGTAAAAAGCAAAGTCAGTTTACTTGGTATGTTTCATTTAAAGGTTAATTGCATACAGATCGGTTTATTCCCATCCATTTCAGATGTCTTGCAAAACATTTATTTAAAATTCAAACCAATACAAAAAACTAGGCCACAGGGAAATCCTAAGGTCTCCAAAGTATATTTACATGCATCTTGGACTGCAGTGAAACAAAGTCAGAAGTCTGAGTGTTATTTTACCTTTCATCCTTTAAGTCAGAGATTTTTCTGGCTTGTGTGCCAGGCCTTCTGAGGGGATGATTACCTCCATCACACAGGACTTGGGGCCAACTGCTTTCTCTTCTGAGTCTACTCCTTTTAGAGAGAGCTCCTGTTTTATGCAGTCATCTGACTTTTACAGCCACTTGCTTGAGTAGATTGGAAGCAGACAGGCTGGATGATTTACCCAAAAGTGCACAGTTGCAGCACACACCGTCCTTCCTGTTCATTGTTCTCTGCCTACCCTTATACCACTGGCTGCTTCATCTGAGTCACAGAGTGAATTTATCCTCAATATATGTTGTAGATGAGGGGAAGAGTCACGGCAGGAGTGGGAAAGCTCGTAAATCACTTGAACCTCATTTTGTGTGAAATATCAAGCCCTCCCAGGAAATCCCTACTGAAAGTAGTTAAAAACATTTTTTAAAAATAATCTAGGTTTTGGTTTATTACTTGTACAGGTCAAGTTTAACCAGGCAAATTTTCAAATAGTATTGAAGAAACTGCTACTGCAGGGAAGGTGTTTGAGGGTGGTGGTACTGGGGATTCTCTCAGCAGTTAGAAACGAGCCATCTTCAAGATCAGGCCCTGTGAGAGCAGTAGGATGTGTTTTGGCATTTTTCGTTGCTCTGGACAAATCACATGGCCTACATTTTTTTTTTTTTTTCATTAAGGTGATTACTGAGGTATTGAACCCAATTTAGAAAGCCTGCTTAGAAATTCAGCCTGCTTCCAAGATCTACGATGGAGACCTTAGACAGCTCAGCCAAAGTGCCTCCGAAGTTAATTGTTTAAATACATCTAATTAGCTTTCTGTCTGATGTTAAAATGTTTTCTCTTTTAAAACATTTTAAAAGTGCTATTACTGGCCAGGCATGGTGGCTCATGCCTGTAATCCTAGCACTTGGGGAGGCTGAGGCAGGTGGATCACCTGAGGTCAGGAGTTCAAAACCAGTCTGGCTAACATGGTGAAACTGCATCTCAACTAAAAATACAAAAAAATTAGCTGGGCATGGCGGCCGGCGCATGTAATCCCAGCTGCGTCAGTAGTCTGAGGCAGGAGAATCTCTTGAACCCAGGAGGCAGAGGTTGCAGTGAGCCCAGGTCGTGCCATTGCACTCCAGCCTGGGCGACAAGAACGAAACTGTCTCAAAGAAAAAAAAAAGTACTATTACTACATTATTCAGTGAGAGAAAAAAGAAAAACCTTAACATAGTGCCTACAATATTATCATTTTAGTGTATTTCAGTTTTTCTTTTTTTTTTTCTTTTTTTTACTTTTAATATCTGGTTGTTTAGGAGATGATGGTGGATTAACCTGGTTGCAGGTAAGTCGGGGTCTTCAAGTCCACTCACTTGACATTGCCCCCTTCAAACTCCTCCTCCGCACTCTAGTTGGAAAGGAGATTAATCAGAGCTAATGAGCCATTTCCTAATTATGAAGTTAATAAGGCGTTCCTGGTCCTTGTTGTACCTTTCCTAGGTAATCAAGAATCGAGTACGGTTTCTGAAACCTTAGTGAGCCTCAGAATCACGTGGAGGACTTGTTAGGACACATGCTGGGCCCCATCTCTGGTTTCTCATTCAGCAGGTCTGGGGTAGGACTGAGAATCAGATTTCTAATCAGTTCTCAGATGAAGCTGAGTCTCCTAGCCCAGGACCACACCGTGAGAATTACTTGTGTTGACCATGATTTTAAGTATTCCTCTGACTGTCACTCTTCTTCTTCTGACTAATCAAGAGTTAACTCTGGTTGAAATAATAGTTTAGATATTTTATACTGTGATTCTCATCCCAAGCATTTCCCGAAGTTGCTGTACAGACTTTATTTTAACTTAAAAAGATTGCACAAGTAATGCGTGTTCCTTAAATAAAAATAAAGCTAAAAGTAAAATTAAGCTAAAAGAAAAATTAGTTATAAATTCCACCTGCATTGATATTTTAGTATATATCCTTCCAATCTCTTGTGAGACAGACACAGAAAAATGTGTCTGCCTCTCCATGTATGTGGTGTGTGTAGGTATTTTATATATATATATGTATGCATGCATATACACGCAAGTGTATCTAACAAAAAGCAAGACCCGTTTTTTTTTCTTTCTCTTTTCTTTTTTTTTGACAGGGTCTTGCTCTGTCACCCATGCTGAAGTGCAGTGGTGCAGTCACGGCTCGGTACTGCCTCATCCTCCCAGGCTCAGTTTCTCTTCCCACATCGGCCCCCTGAGCAGCTGGAACTGCAGACACATGCCACCACTAATGGCATGTGCCTAGCTAATTTTTATATTTTTTGGTTTTATTTTGTTTAATTTTTTCTTCTGTAGTTTTTGGTGAACAGGTGGTGTTTGGTTACGTGGCTAAGTTCTTTAGTGGTGATTTCTGAGATTTTGATATAATTTTTGTATTTTTTGTAAAGACAGGGTTTCACCATGTTGCCCGCACTGGTGTTGAATTCCTGGGCTCCAGCCGTGCGCCCACCTTGGCCTCCCAAAGCATTGAGATTACAGGCAGGAGCCACTGCACCCAGCCAATGAGATCTTATACAAGTATTTTTAGCTTACTTTTCAAAAAGCCTATGTAGTAAATATCTTATGTTGAATATGTATCTATCTAGTTTTAATTGCCTTTTTTCAGTGTGTATGTATATCGTAATTTATTTAATTAGTTCTCCATTGTTGGACTCTTAAGATTTTTGTTCTAGTTTTTCCATTAATAATACTGTGCTGAGCATCTTAGTACATTTTTCTGTATTTGTCCAGTTATTTTCTTCAGATAATATCTACATATGTAGTTGCTGTATGAAAGGTTATGTTCTTTAAAACATCTTTGCTAGTCTCTGAGATAAAAAGAATACTCTGGTTTCAGTTCGTATTTGGTTATCGATAAGGTTTATTGGCCATTATTTATTTATCTTTGTGAATTACCTATTTGTATCCATTGCCCATTTTTCCACTGGGTGTCTATCTTTGTATTTTTATTTGTAAGGTCTAACTCAGGCTGGGTGAAGCGGCTTACGCCTATAATCCTAACGCTTTAGGAGGCTGAGGCAGGTGGATTGTTTGAGCCCAGGATTTCAAGACCAGCCTGAGCAACTTGGCGAAACCCTGTCTCTACAAAAAATCCAAAAATTAACCTGGCATGCTAGCATGCACCTGTGGTCCCAGCTACTCAGGAGGCTGAGGTGGAAGGATCACTTGAGCCCAGGGAGTTCGAGGCCTCAGTGAGGCGTGATTGTGCCACTGCATGCCAGCCTGGGTGACATAGTGAGACCCTGTCTCAAAAGAAAAAAAAAAGATTAAATCTTTGTCATATGTTTCAAATATTTTCCCCAATTTACTCCGTGTGTCTTTCGTAGGTTCATTTCCCCACTCACTGCCCACTGCAAAACTTTAGAGTCAGATGCTGCCCAGACTGCTGAGTCACCATTTTATTTATTTATTTATTTATTTATTTATTTATTTATTTATTTACTTATTTATTTTGAGACGGAGTCTCCCTCTGTCACCCAGGCTGGAGTGCAGTGGCTCGATCTCTGCTCACTGCAACCTCTGCCTCCCAGGTTCAGGCAATTCTCCTGCCTCAGCCTCCTGAGTAGCTGGGATCATAGGTGTGCACCACCATGCCCGGCTAATTTTTTGTGTGTTTTTAGTAGAGACGGGGTTTCTTCATGTTGGTCAGGCTGGTCTCCAACTCTTGACCTCAGGTGATCCACCCACCTCGGCCTCCTAAAGTGCTGGGATTGTAGGCGTGAGCCACTGCACCCAGCTGAGTCACCGTTTTTAATGGCTGTGTAATATTCCTTTAAGTTGGGTGTACTGTCATTTACTTTATTAGCCTCAAATTTTAGGGATCCCTCGAGAAAGTCTAAGCATGTCATTCCATGCTTTTTCAGTTGTTCTCTCTACTTTTTTTCTTTAACCAGATGCTAACCCTGAGGTGACCATGACAATGCTTCGCTGGATCTATACAGATGAGTTGGAGTTCAGAGAGGATGATGTGTTCCTGACTGAATTGATGAAACTAGCAAATCGGTTTCAGCTACAGCTTCTCAGGGAGAGGCAAGTCACAGCAGATAT